TCCCCCACCTCCTTTTCTCTTCTTATATCCTATGATTTCCTTGGAGAGGAACCTGCCTGGAATACCATGGACCCTCTGCTCCCTATTAAGTATTGAGATGCAGATGACATCCTTTGATGCCTGAAAGACATTACAGTTTCAATGTCCGGTGTCAATACAAAATTCGTGGCCTGACTCCCCATTGTCTGTGTCATTTGCGGCACGGACCCTGACCCTTGATTTTGTATCATTTCTTCTTGTTGATTGAACAGGGGATTGATGATCATTTCCTTTTGTCTTGCTTCCTGAAGCTGGGACGAGGTTCCCTGTGATAGGAATTGGTCTGCATTTTTCATTTGTTACTTCTGTTCCTTCTATTCTTTTTGCTCCTCATCCGTAAGGATTTCCCTTTCCATCATCTGTAGGTCAGAAAATTTTTCTTTTATCTCCTTGCCCTGTTTTTGCCTAACCGCCAATACTGTCCTGATAGGGGTGGTCGGGGACCTCACAATTCAACCCGGAGTTATCCTGGCAGCATCAGCCAGTTTAGCTTAGTTGTCACTTGAGGCACCTGTCCACTCCTCTGAGATTGTTCCTTCACATCTCCTGGCTATTAGCCATATCGTGGGTTACTTCTTCGCTCCTTCCCTAGCTTGATTACTTGACCAAAACGTCTATACAACCTACTGGAGCCACTTCCTTCCCCTAACCATGCTATCCTAACCCAATCTATACCTATTCTTGATTCTAAGACCTACCTACTAACTGCACAGGCCTAAACGGGCCTGATGCCGGCCTAACCTGCCGGTGGAACCAGCGTTCCTCGTAACACTGGCACTCTCCACCCCCCTCCCCTGTTTGACTGCATGTGGTCCGAATCGGGAACCGAGTAGCCTTGGTTCTAAGTAACATCCACTCGACTCAAATCCGCACAAACCAAAACTGTCCTATCTTACTGGTCCTCCTCTCTATCTAACTATTCCCTATCTGTTCCACCAAGACCAAAATTTCAGCTTGTTGTCACTGGTGACTTGTAGTACCGCTGCGTTTTGTCCCCATGTCGCTTCAAACCACAACGTACCTGCCCTCCTCCTACCCCTGCTCACCTTGCGTCTCCAATCTGCCAAGACTTCGTTTCTTAACAGCTTCCTGAATAGCCTCTCCGCCTATGCTTCTGGCATGTTGTTTCCGTTGAACCTGGTGTTATTGCGATATGCCCAGATCACCCACAGCAGAACTGCTCTGCAGACCTGTGCTGCATAACCCCAGCCCCTGTCTGTTGCCGTGCCTTCTGGTACTGTGCCCATTATGACCCACCTTTCTCCTGTCAGGTCTCTCCTATTGGACCATTTAATCCAATGTGCTGCCCACCAATCCCACCATTTCCTGGACTTGGGGCAGGCCCACCACAGGTGGTGCATTGTTTCGAACACCCAACTACACCTATCGCAGGGTTCTTTTACTGACATTCCCCATTTCCTCAACCATCTCGCTGTTGGTACTGCCTGGTGAGATTGTAGCCACAGCAGAGACGCCAACTTCTGTGAGGGGATCTTTGATAGTTGGTCCCACAACCTCTGCTGTTCCTTGTTACTTGGAGGCTCCAGGTGTGGTAGCGAGGTTTCCCATTTCCGATTCAGCTCCGTTCCTAGTATGTTCTCTCTTTCATGTGCTTTTTGCCTGACCGTTGTTGTGCAGTTCTCCAGATCCCAGATAACTTCCTCACCCACTCTCCATCCCCATCTTGTTGAATCCATACGTCTCTCTGCATATGCTGTCCCATTGGCCACCACCTACCACTTGCCTCCCTCTGGTTGTTGTTGCTGCTGCTGCTCTTATTTCCTCCAGCGAGCTGATTCCATAATTTGTGGAGCTTCCAGATTTCCTGAGGTCCTGTGTTCCTGCGGTTTCCCGCTCGTAGACCGACAAAGTGCATTTCCTCTGGATTTCTGCATCCCAATCCTCAAGCCGCACAAACTCTTCTTTGCCGCCCTCTTCTCGTTTATACCAGGTTCCTATTGATGACACATAGTCTGGTTCCAACGTAGTCTTCCATGGTTCTGGTATGGTTTGAATTAAGTCTACTAATCGTTGGTCTTGCTCAGGCAACCTTCCTAGCTTCTCTTTCAGCCTGTCTTTTGTAATCCAGTGCCCTGTGGTGACGTCCCATAGGTCCCCTACCTGAGAGATCCCACGTTATATCCATTTTATACCATAGGCCCCTGCCCTGGTGCTAGCCTCGAACATGCGTCCTTCCTTGTTCCGGAGTAGAGGGTTCTCGAAAATATGTTGCTTGAGGACTTCCGACCTGAGAACCGGTTCGGCCACCTGGTCTGGTTTGCACATCTGCCAGGCTTGGATTATATCCCGCCAAAGTTTTGATTTGATACGTTTGGCAAGAAATGCTTGGATCATAATGGCCACCCAGACATCAACTGGCCTCGAGAGTTCCCATTGCTCAGCTAGAATTTCCTTAGCTAGTATGCACTAGTCTGCCTTCTGTTATGCCGTAACTACCTTCAGGATCCACTTCGACAGTGGCCACAAGTTATGAGTGTCTGGGTCAAGAAGGCCCCACCCTCCTTTTATCCTAGGTATGCACAGTGTGTCCCAGGCTACTTTCGAGATGTAACCTCTCTTCTTCCGAGTCCGGCTTCCACATGAATCGTCTCGCAGTTGCCTTCACATCCTTCACCAACGGTTTGGCCAGTCTTCTCACTTTAGCCACATACCAGAGCACCGAGAAGGCTGCTACTGATATGGCCAACACTCTCTCGATTAGAGACAGATGTGGCGCTGCTCCCCAACTTCTGGTTCTCACTGTGACTTTCTCCTTTAGGATCAACGACTGTGATTCCGTGCAGTCTTCCAGTGCCAGTCGGCCTCTCCTTCCTTGACTCTTTGCATGCCCCACTCCACGTTAAGGGGGTAGTCCTTCGGAAGATAGTAAATGGACTTATTCGAGTTTGCTGCTGCTTCTGAGAGATCTGTGTATCGTGTCAGACATTGTTTCAGGGTTTCTAGCGAATCCTTCGTGTTTGCCGATAGGGCTAGCAGAACGTCTACTAAGGCCTTTACCCTGCACTCGTTGCCACTTTTGAGGTGCAGTCCATCTAGCAGTGGGTGTGTTCTGATATCATGCAAGAGGACTTCTAGCTGTAAGACAAACAGCAATGGGGCCAGGGGGCGCCCTTGCCTGAGAGAGCGTGACAGCTTGAACCTCTTAGAGTGATGGCCATTCACTTGCACCACTGCTGATGCGAAGAAGTACAAAACTTTTACCCAGCTGCAGAAGGCATCTCCGAACTTCATCGCCTTCAATGTTGTCAAAACAAAAGCCCAGTTCACCCTATTGTAAGCTTTTTCCAAGTTCAGCATCAACACTACCACCTCTTCGTTCCTTCCTTCAATCACCTCGAGCGACTCTATTGCTGTGGCTAGGTTATCCATTATCGATCTGCCTCTAATGAAGGCCCCTTGATCTAGCCCCACCAGTCCTGGCAAAAATTTGGCCAGCCTGTTGGCCATTGTTTTGACCAAGAACTTGTATGAAAGGTTCAAGAGTGAAATTGGTCTCCAATTCCTAATTTTACTCCTGTCGCCTTTCTTATACAGCAGTGTGATAATTCCTCTGGCCATAGAGTTCCCCAGACTTCCTCCTTCGTGCCTCATTATAGGCAGCCACGAGGTCTTCCACCAGCGTGTTCCAACATGCTTTGTAGAATTACAGTGGTAGCCCATCCTCTTCGGGAGCCTTGCCCTTCGCCATGGTGGACAGCGTGTGCGTCAGTTCCTTAGTCGTTAGTAGTGTGTCTAATTCCTCTTGTGCTTCCGTTGGAAGAGCTACTCCCAGGCTGTTCCAGGCGTCTGAGTGCTCCGCCAGGTTGGTGCCCGGGTCCTCAAATCTGGACCTTGACGTCAGGATGTCTTTGAAATAGGCCACCGCATAGCTGCATAGTGCCTCGTTGTTACTGGTTGTTGGCATGCCATTGAGGTGTGGATGCATCAACTCTTTCATTTGTACCGCACGACGTTTGGGTAACAGCCTTTGGAAGACTTCCTTGGACATTCGGTCTTCCACCACTATATTCTTTTTGTCAGTATCTATTCCCATCTGGTGTGCTTCTCCTGTTGGATCCTTTCCCATTCCTGCAGCCTGGCTGCCCTTTCTTCCGCCCAGGCCACCTATGAAATTGGGTGTGAGTTAATTCGTTGTTCTGCCTCATCCACCTTCCGCCGATAGTCTTCTTCTTCCTTGTTTCTTAGGAAGGCATCTATGGAGGAAAAAGTTTCCATCTTATTCGAGATGATGGGCATACCCGCCTCCAACCACTCTGCTGTGTTGTTGAAGTGTTCTTTTGCCAAGTCCCAATCCTTCGAAAATTGTTCCACCCACTCCCGGATTCCCTCCTCTTCCAACAGCTGGGTGTTCAGGCGGAAGCAGCCTAGACCTCTGTCACCTAGCTCTTCCACCCGAATGGTCATCAGCACCGGCTTATGATTGGATAAGTCATCATTTTATTCCTGTATCTGCAACACATTTGAAGCCAGATTCTCGGCGACCAAGAAAAAATCCAGCCGGCGCTTCACTCCTGCCGCTTGTGGCGACCTGCCGAATCAGGTGAATCCCGACTCCGAGGGGGTAATTGCCCTGTAGACATCCTGAAGGTTCCACCTTTGCATCCGGATAAGCAAGGTCCTTCTGTCTCTCTGCATGTGTTCCGCTTTCTCCGAGTCCTATCCAGGGGAGCATACCATATTCCAATCACCTGCAATTATTAGGTGGTCCGAATTAGGAATCTTTCTGGACAGAAGCTCCACAAACTCTATCCTGTCCAATGGGTCATTTGGCGCATAGACTATGGCCATCACCCAATCCTCCTGCCCAATCGTAATCTTGACCCAACTCCAACGCCCCCATAAATCGTTATCACAGTCCACTACCTCTGCTCCCAATCTGTTATGCAACAGGATTGCCACTCCCCTTTTGCTGCCTCTAGCTGGAGACCACAATTGTGGTCCCGTCCACGAATCTTTCATTTGCAGGATTTTTTCTTATGACAACTTTGTGTCTTGGATTAGTAGAATGTCTATTCCCTTCTTATAAGCCCAGGTCTTCAATCTTCGTCCTTTATGCCTGCCGGTTGAGTCGCCCAAGCCCTGTACATTCCACGTGGCTATTTTAATTCTCCCCATAGGGTGCCATGTGGAGGGTTGTAGATTGGATTAACCCTGGGGCTGACAGTGCTTCCGGCCATCTGCAACTCAAAACTTTTGCAAAGCAGGTCGATAATAAGTTCCTTCTCTTTAGCAGATCGTCGTTCAAACGATGTAGAAGAGTTGCTGTCATGCCTGGTTCTATTGAGACTCCTTCCAATTCTCCGTTGAGATCAGACAAGAACAATCTCAGTGGAATGCCGACCAAATTCACGGATCCGATGTTCATCCACAGCTCCAGAGGTATGTGAGCATCCGCCGATGATATTAAATACCTCGCTTTGAACCCTCCTGGCAGGTCAACCGAGATCCTTGTAACCGAGTCTTCCGGGAACAGGCGAAAGATGAATTGTTCGCTAAACAGTTGTCTGACCTTCATGATCACGAACTGTGGAGATGGCATTTCAGTAATATTACTGGCTGGCATTACATGCCTCCCATCTTCAGTGCGTACGCACAAAACGTAAATCTCCTGACCTTGCAAGGTGCAAACAAATGGGAAAATTAAATTATCCTTCACCGCCTGATCTTCTCTCAATCTCACTATCGCCCTAACTTGAATGTCTCTCGGAGAGTCTTCATCTCCCTCCTTTTCTTCCTCCTCCTCTGTGTCTTCCGGATCTACTTGTCGCTTCCCTTCTTCCTCCGTTATGCCTTGTCTCCCATCTCTGCCCTCCGTTCTGCGGACACCATCCCCCCTGAGGCGTCTGTTTTGCTGATCTCCTGTTCCGATACCTGTTTCTCCCTGTCTCAAGCCCTGTTCTGACACAATCATCAGCTCTCTGGATCCTCCTTCTTCCCTCCGTTGACCTGCATCGCTTCCCTGTCCTGCCAGCCTTTGCCTTAGCATCTTATCTGCTAATATCTTCGCTACCTCCATAACCGTAGGTTGCCACGCCTGACTTCCCCCCAAGCTTCGATTTCCGGACAGTTCTTGCAGCCCTGTCGTCTGATTATTGAGTCCGAGTTGTTGGACACCCATATAATCTGGCAGGGGTTGACCAAATAACGGCACACATGCTTCATTTATTCCACTTGCTCCCTCTCTTTGTGGTAGTCCGGACCTTCCTGCGTTCCCTGAATTGCCTTGTCGTTGCTGCTGCTGTTGGGATCTTGTCGCCGCTCCTAGTGCAGATTTCGCCATCGTTTGATGTGAAATTTCTTCGGGCAGGTCCCTTATCGCTTCTCTGATGTCGCCTGACGTGCTTGCATTCAGCTCTGGCCTTTCTTGCCTTCTACCTTGAGCATTCCTGGCGGAAAAATTATCCGCTATTGTCGGGTCTTCTCCTTGGTCCCCGAATTGTTGGTGAAGTTTCGAACAACCATCTGTGGCTGTGTGGTTCCACCAGCGGCAACGATCGCAGTACGGAGTATGTTTACACACGAATTCGATATAGACGTTCTCACCGTCGTCTAAGCGTACCGGGAACATTGGTTCGAAGGCACCCTTTGCTTCCGGCACGAGTTTGAATTTCATGTTCATAAGTTTCGGCCTTGTTGCGTCCGGTTGTGGGGGAATTGTGTTGATAATTCTCCCCATGCTCTGCTCCACCATGTCTGTGATAGGGAACATTGCACGCAATGGAACTCGCAGAGCCATTACCAAAAATTTTGAAGCGTCTTTCAGTCGTCTCTGTTCTTCTAGCTTCAGACTGTCATCCAAGGCTTAAACAACATTTTATACACCACTCCTCTAATCACCACCTTATCTTCTCCCTTATTTACCATCCATTGTGCCACCTTCCTCGACATGGCCACATACGACATCACATTCGTGCCTTCCGAGTGTGTCCTACCCCTTTTTGGTGTTCTACTGAATGTTCGAGTCCTCGCCCAGCCGTTCTCGTACGCCTGTACTAAGTCCTCCCTCACTTTCACCGGTAGCGACCTCGCCTCCCCTTGAAAGGTAATCGTGATTGTTCTTTCTTTCAGCCACTTTGTGGTCAATTCACCCACTTGCTTGTCCACCAGAAAGATTCTTGCTCCATTTTCAAAGATGGATTTTCCCTGCCTCAGCCTTTCGGGGAAGACTCCCTCTTCGTAGCACTTCGCGATCAAAAACTTAACTCGGTCTTCTTCTGAAATTGGGATCTCTCCTTGAGGCGGAGGAGATCTGTCCTCCCCTCTTCTGTTTCTTCCTTCCGTGCCATTTTGGCTTGCGATTGTCTTCCCGTCTTGTGTTCTCATAACTCTTATGCTGTTTACCACTCCTTCTTCAGTCCGCCGTCCAATATGGTATTCACAGATCCTACATCTGAGAGGCGGACGCCTTCCGGCGCACGCCCAACACAAGGTCCCTTGCCTCACACGTTGTCTCGCACCTCTTCCTGTGAACTATGCCGTAACCCCGGGCTGGCCTACCCGCCACAGTCTCCCTCTTCCGAGGGTGCACGGTCCTTACCGGGCGAGACGTCTCGGGATTACCGAGCTAACATCATGGTGGTGGTATCCCGTCAGACCAGTTCAGCTATTACCGCTGAAGGCGCCAACTTAGAACGCGAGCATCGCGTCAACCGCCGCGCTCCCCCGGCCTAAAGCTCTCGAGTATTGCTAACCCTAATCGCTACATCGACGCATTGATAGCGCAGAATTAGTGCAGAATTAGCGCTACCGGAGAGCTCGCGGCCCCCAATCGAGCTAGTTTCGTGCTGCTTCCCACGAATAGATTGGAGCTTTTTGTCCCCCCCCCCCAAAAAAAAAAAAAACACGAATAGATTGGAGTTTTTTGTCCCAAAAATAAATAAATAAATAAATAATAAAAAATGCTAGTTTCGTCTTCGGCAGGCCTCGTGAAGTTGACGAGACCCCTGTGGATGACGATGCAGGGGTCCGTTGCTGTGGCTCAGGGTTCCGATTGCTTGGCATTGCCTCTGTTGATGTTGATCACACGTCATTCTCATCATGACACATCCATTCATCATGGCCTTTTTTTTTTTTTTTTTTTTTTTTTTTTAACATCATTCTCATCATTGACATGTCCATTCATCATGGCTTTTTTTTTTTTTTTGAAGTCCATGGTGTTGTAGAGGCCAGCCACTGAGTGCACAGTGATCACCTGGAGCAGTGGGCCGTGGGTGTCCTGGAATATGAGACCACCTCCCATCCCATCCTCACCTCAATGCTCCTAGTGCACCCCCTATCCCATTACCCTACCCATGGGCAGGCAACTTGGACCGAACAGTAGTGATAGGCACCAGGGCTGATAGGTTGCCCAGCCCTGGTGGAAGCGGAATCGGATGAGCCTTGTCGAACGGGAACTTCGGACCCCAGGCCCAGACAATCTACTCCAGGCCCCAAGAGACTCTGGACCCTAGGTTCAGACAGGGTAGCACCCACTGAAGCAGTCTTACCATCCTTCCCCTAGCTTACCCAAGGCCAGGCGGAACTCGGACTAGCCTGAGCGACTTATAACCCTATCCCTACCCTTACCCTTATATCCCTACCCTTACCCGGGTCTAAGCCTTATATATAAAGACCAGACAGTTCTATCCGAATGTCAGTAGGAACCCCTTACCTGAACCTACTGCAGATACTAGACCCCACCCAGTAACTAGACCCCCCCAGTCTGATAGTTGTGTAGTTTGCAAGCTATGTGTATACCCGAAGGCTGTGTATGCTCCGTGAATCTAGGTATCGAGATGTACAGACAGCATCATGTGTGGAAACTTGTGTATGTAGCTCGTAGGCCATGTATAGTTCGCAAGCTATGTGTATGCCCGAAGGCTGTGAGTGCTCTGTGAACCTATGTATCGAGATGTACAGGCAGCATCATGTGTGTATATCGAAGAGAGAACGGGGCAAGCTGGACAAGGACCTCCCCCAAGGTCCGAACCGAGCTCGAACCCGTAGCCTTGTAACATGTAATCGAATGACTCTACCATATGAACGACTATCGGAAATGGCGTGAAAGTGTGATATGCCAGACTGGGGAGATCAACAGAGCACCCAAGACCAACACCCCCAAGCAACCCCTGCGAAACCCAGAACCAACATACAACATCATGAACAACCCTTGGGTGGTGCACAGGCAGTCTACAATAGTACCATGCATCAGCCCAAAGGAAGTGTGTCCAGCCGTGCGTCAATCTAACGCCCTGCCCTGGCTTTTTGTGATAATAAAACCATGAAGCAGGTGATGCCTTGGCACCTTCAGTACAGGACACCTGGATGTGCTGTGTCTGTACTTGATCTCTTGGTCAGCTGCACAACACCATCATGAACCTTCTGCCGCTGCGAAAAGCTGCTGACGGGAGGTTGAGAAAAGACAGAGAAAGAGAGAGACCTGATGCACTGAAGAACAATCACATGACGCAGCTATTGTCAGTTACAGTTGGCAGATGATCCCAAATCAAACAGAAATATCTCTCTCTCTCTCTCTCTCTCTCTCTCTCTCTCTCTCTCTCTCTCTCTCTCTCTCTCTCTCTCTCTCTCTCTCTCTCTCT